AGCGCACGGCTTCTTATACAAATGAAAGATTTTAGCGACGCTCGTATATTATCCTAATCGCAAAAGCGAAAAAGTACTGCGGATAAGCTGCACGATGATAACCGAAGCACGAGGCATTAGAATAGCCTAGTATTTTAAACATATCACGAATGCAAATGTAAGAAACATGTGTAAATTTCCAAAACATCGTCGCACTTTGGCCGCTTGCATAAAATGTGATGACTAACATGCCACTGTTTATTGCATAGAAAAATATAATACATTAATATATATATACATTTTTTTTATAATAAATTAATTATTTTTGAATATTTTAGTTTTTAATTTTATTAAATCCGTTAAAAACTTGTATATGAAAAATTATCACGTAATATCACTGTTTTATGTGATGCTGTGATATTGAAGAATTGCATTTGTTTTTGAAATTAAAAATTGAATGCTTATTTTAATAATCTCCGTTCGAAAATGTTGCGACGACACTCATCACTTAGTCCAAAAATCCGTCTTAAAGAGGCTCAGGCGAAAAGAACATCTGACACTTGTTCACACAGCTTAATCAAGACTTTGTGTAAATATTCATGATTGTTTTTTGAGATTTCGTTAAGCCGTTACGGTGGAAGTTACTTTCAAAATTAACGAACAAACAAGGTTAGTAGTTTATTAAATTCGGAGTTCTATTTATCATTAGTTAATCGATTCGTTATTTGACAATCGTCTTCTCACTGTCCGCTAGATCATTTGAATTTCAAAGAGTGAAATATACACCTGCTGTCGTTAAATTTTGTCAAATAGATAATTAGAAATTTCCGTCAATATCAGTATATATAGTCACATAAACAAAAAATTTTATCCGATTTTGAAATTTATATATATTAATTGAAAATGCTTCGCATTCACGAGACTACTATGAGTTAAAAGTGATTAATTGGTAATTAAAAAAATCACTATCTGGCAGTTATAAAGAATTTCTACGATGTGAAAAGATAAACGGCTCATTGATTCGGAATTCATTTTGTGAATGTGAAACATCGAACTTCAAGTGTGAAATTAAGAAATGACGTAGTTAACGTACCTCGAATCTGTTAAAGTGATATTTCCACAAGTGGTTATATGCTGAGTCAATTAATATCTTTGTCATTAATCAAAGATTTTTGATATTGCACCGATTATCGCGTACAGTCCTCAAGTTGTTATTGTTCGTCTTGTTGCGTATTAAAGATTGCCAAAACATCGTTAATCGGCATTCGCTAAAATAAAGATGTATTTACAAATTCAGCGTTGATTAAAAGCTGACATTCACGATAGAACATTATTTTTTATAAATTTACCTATTTTAAGATTGTTTTAAGATTGAATATTGTTTACCTATTTTTGTTTCTTTATTTATTCTGTTCAATCGATAATAATTAATAATTAAGCGCACTAATATGCGCGTTTGTGTGTGTATGTGAACGCGGTATATGTTGCATATATAATATAAATATATTTTCATTGTTATTATATATATTACATTTTATTATGTAATATATATCACATATTAATTTAAATGTCATATTATCTTTTTCGATCAAGTAATGTGTTTTTGATATTTCTATTTGATATTATTCATAGTTTATTACTCATCGTTGTATAAAATGAGAAAAATAGCAGGAAATCGGGTTTGTGACGCTCATGATTTATTCTCATATAACAAACAGATGGTCTTTTTATTCTGTAGGCAACGTAATGCATTGATGATAATAACGCAGAAGTGCAGCACAATATATCGTTGAATTGGCCTCACCTGTTTAAATACGTGTCTATCTAATATCGAGACCTCAAATTTCAACACGAGTCATTGAAAATTTTCCATATCAAAATCGTGGCTCTCGAGCTGCTTTTCTTTTCCGCTTCAGGTTTAATGAGCAAAATTTCTGTAATACATTTCAATACATATTTTATCTCAAACCATTTTTTATACTTCACACAATGCCACATAGTTCCATTTCAACTTATTATTAGACTCGACACGAAAATCGATGAATTTGATCCATCTTTCTCCTGCTTTCCTTTCTTTCTGTGAATGATTATTTGATAAGTTTGCCAAGAAATTTTTCATGACGCTTATCAGCGGCATGCTTTTGTGCCTTTTTTTGCAACTATGTTGGACGCATCTTTATGAGCTCATTTCCCTTTTCAATTCGCTCGTTTAAAACCGAAGAACAGTAATTCAAATTCGCAATGAACATCTTCCGGCGATTGGCAGGGAACTACATCATGCACCGTTATCTATGGAAACAAGTAACAAATTCTCGCTAGCGATGCGTTCGCGCATGAATTATGTAGAAATGCCGCTCGTAAGAACGCATTACAGATTTATTCAAACAACGAGTAGTAGTCATTAGTCGTACTTTATGTTCAAACGTGATCTTTATCGATACGGTAGGACCTTCGAGCCAGTGATTTACTTCGTGGTTTATCACCGACTTTCCGACACATCATCGTTTCACGCAAAATGGCTATTTCTATTTTCACTCGCTTATTCGTGTGTCTTACAAATCACTCGCTCTAACGCAGCGCTACATTCGCATTGTGTTCTTGTTAATTATTCATTTGTTTACAGCTCGTTAAAAAATATCTTTTTTACTAATACATAATTTTGCATGAATTTACATGAACTACAACATGATTTGTTTATTTTCTTCAAGATTTTATATAAAATTATACGTAATGTGTATTTATTTAAAAACACCTACGTATAGAAAACGTACAGCGTGTTTTAAAAAATTTAAATATTACAAGAATGTCAAATCTCGAATCGCTGTGCGTATATAAAAATTTTATAATTATATTACACAAATTGTTTTTAGAAAATACACGCAAAAATCATTGATGCCAATTAAAATTTTCCTCTTGACTGCGCTGATCTGTAAAATTTCCTGACAACTCGGGAAATCAATATCAGGCATATTGCGTGATAGAACGCAACTTGCGCGTAATGTATTTAATTCATTATTACTAATTATCACAAGTTGATCAGCAGTCCGGTGCTCGTTTTGAAAGCTTGCCCCATCAAGTTTGCGGACGGCACGGTCGAAGCATTTTATAGTGGATTCCTCGTGGAGCAGAACTGCAGAGCCGCATCGAGCAATCACATCTGTCCAACCTCGCGTGATTAGGATCTCGTCCCTTGATATATCCGTCTGATACTCGTTGCGATTCGCGCACGCACGATTTATAATTCATTTCGTAGAGTGACAACCGGCTGCGCGTTTGTGATTTCTTCCTCGCGGTTTACTCTTTCGCGCGTAAATTTTTCTTTTTTTTCCCTTTTTTTTTCTTTTTTATTGCGTCGTGAATCTGATACACGCGAAACAATGGCGCTAACCGTCGTCGACAATGCATTAAATGCATGCTCGCGTTTAGTTTAAACTCAGCGAGCATAAATATTCTGTATTCATTGATGTGCAAGATCCGCTGTACGATATGGAAACCAGCAACGATTTAAATAACTCTTCTAGCGGGGGTTGGATGACTGTTATGAATATGGAGTTTATAATCGCCGGCATTTCAATTCTTTATTATCGAACTTGATGAGATTGCTGTAAAGTATAACGAGCGTATAATTTGGGGAAGCTCGACTTTTGTATCGCGCAGCTCAGTTTCTGATTAGTTATATTTCCTGCTATAAATTTACTAGATTCCGATAAGCATGCAGACATGCATCTTATTTAACTACTTTATAATATTTAAATCAATTTTTTAATCGACAGAAACAAACAATATTTAAATTGCATGTATCTGCTATATGTAAAAGAAATATGTTACAGAATTGTGATAATTTCTTATTTAAGATACTTAATATTTATTTGTAATATTATTTCATAAGAGAAAAGCTAATATCGCAACGTTCAGAATAATTGTGCAAATGTTTTTAACGACTGTGCATAAAATGTTTTATTATACAAATAATACAAATAACAGCGCGCGTTATCTGTGTTTATGATTAATTTTTTATCATATGTTTGCAGAATAAATTTGGAAGATACGCATGTTGCGTAGTACGACACTATTGCTTTGTAATTTTTTCGATCAACACGTTTCAGTAAGCCGTGATTTTAGACTGTAATCATTCTTCGTTTATGCGATCGAAAGGATTTCAGATTTTATGCATCACGAAAGAATCCGCTTCAAGGCTCCATGTATTATTCATTTCTCTGTTAACGTATATGTTTCGTGCATGTAATGAACGCGTTTGTGGAATGCAGCCTCTACGCATGCTTTTACGCAAAATGTGTATAACTCATACTTAGCATGAGTTTCTATAGTTTCTTTATTTCGTAGAGAGATTTTGCGATCACTTTCGATTATATATTAAACTGCGTACAAAAGCGTAAGATAGACGAGAAATCTGATGAAGGAAAATAACATATAAATAGTTGGAAACGCATCAAAATAAAACTTACGTTTATCTAAAATATGTATCTTTCTTAGAAACGTTTCAAAAATTAAAATCGTGTGTTAGATATAATCTCTGATAAAAGATTCTTTAGATAAAGAACACTTATTTCACTTTAATGTTTCCTATTTTAAATATTTTCGTTTTTATCTATGTCGTTCTAGCGCAAGTATTTAATATTTAAGTAAACTTGAAATTTACTGACTGAAGATTTACAAAAATTACCAAGCAATGTTATTTATGAGTGAAGAAAACGGAATGATTTAGAATTATTTAAGGATTATAAGATGTTATTTTTTGCTCATATAAATTTTTCAGTTGCAATAAATGACATTTATGCTTAAATTAAATGCCATTATTTTTAATGGTCTTTGAAAACATTATTTTGCAATTTAGCACATGCATAATGATAAGAATGATCAATTTATCTAATATAGGGTTTTATCTGCATATACAGACATATGTTTATTGTATTTATGTTTAAATATATACTTTGAGAAAAGTTTGTCGCTAATGAAATTAAGTAGGGTGTTATTGCGATTTTGAAAATTATATATGTTGCATGCACATTTTGCATTCGTGCGTGGGTACGAATAATAAGCCAAGTATTTGCTCTCTCGTGATAGAAGCGGTACCTCGAACTTGGCACATGAAACCGGAACTTCATTGCAATCCCGTGGGAGTTCCGGCGGGCGCCTTGTCACCCCCGGCTACCCTCTCGCCACCCGGCAGCCCCAGCATAATCACGCTGCCATCCTCGCCTTGGAGCCCAGGTGTACCGGGAAGCAGTTCGAGCATCGCATCCACTAATGCATCTTCGAATCTTTGTCAACCTGTCCCCGATCGTTTCAGCGCCTTCACCCTCGTCTCGAATTACAATTCCGATCTGAGACTGCAAAGTCTACCACTCAGCGCTAGCGTTGCCGCGCGAGGTAAGTCGCGACTTCGCGAAGGCGAGGATGGTGTGAATTAGAGCAAATTTTTTTACCATAATATCTCTGACTTATGTAAATATTTATCAATTTATAATTGAGCCGCGAAATTTATTTAAAATATCAAAACAATATCCTCAAGGCCATAAGAGTCCATCGCTGGATGTTAGGTTGCGAAATGAAATATGAATCTTGTAAATTCAAACTTCGTGATGAGGTTTCGACGAGATTTCTCTCGTCGAAAGTCTCGTCGAAACCTTATCACAAAGTTTTAATCAAGTACGAAGTTTGAATTTACAAGATTTATATTTTATTTCGCAACCTAACATCCAGCGGTGGACTCTCCTATGGCCTTGAAGACATTGTTTTGATAGTTTGAAATCTATGAAGTTATTTACATATGTTTAACTAAACATTAAATTAAGAACTTTCTGATTATTTAAAATATTTTTAACTTAAAAGTATTCCTATACATAGAATATTATTGATATTATTAATATTCTTATGTATATTCATTATTTTTATACATAACTATATTTATTTAACAAATAAATTGATGATTTCAAGGACTCTTTTATATAATAATAATTAATACGTTAAACAGGGCGAATATAAGAGTCAAATTACAATTAAAAATCTAAATCTGATAATTTATTCTAATATATTGCGAAGAATATCACGTAATTTTTGGCGTTTCGTCCCGGTTTCCACTACTGGACTCATCAGTAAGGCATTGTAATGGAAGCCTACCTTATACGCCTTGGTAAGTTTTTAAATCGAGATTCTATATAAAGAGATATACGCGTGTCTCAGCACTTGCGAGAATTTGCGAATATCGATAGACCTCTGATGGCGAGTCGACGTAATGATATTCTTCGCAATATATTAGAATAAATTATCAGATTTAGATTTTTAATTGTAATTTGATTCTTATTTCGCCCTGTTTAACGTATTAATTATTATTATATTTATTTAACTTTAATATATGTCATTATAACATATGACAGCATAATCTTTCGAAATATTTTGTAAATTCTCTGTTACTTAGAAATTATCACACTTTTAAATTCCACGCTCTGAACTCAGCATGGTTACCTTTGTTGTCTCAGACATGCGTTGCGGTCTTATGTACGGTGGCTATGGGGCATCTGGGAGTGCCTGGTGGCGTCACATGGGCCTGCTGTTGCCACATAGTTTGCTCCCGCCTACGAGAATCCCATCCCAACAGACGACGCCGGTCACGAATTGCTCGCCTATTCATTCGGAACCTCTCAGTCCGGCACGTCCCGGTTCACCCCGAAGATGCACGCCGGAGAAGGCCAAATTCGGTGAGATTTGATTGAATCTCTCTTAAACAAATCTACGAATGTTTAACACGTTACGACTGAAAGATACATATATAGAGAAGAAACTTCTGTTAGGAGATGACATCGTTAAAATCCATCGAAGAATATTTGAAATGAATTTTTTTATTTTGAATTATTTTAAACTTTTTTAAAAATTACTCTCAAATATTTTCCCTTAGTAATAATTTACATAATTTAGTTTATAACATGACGATTTCTTTGGCTATTCATATATACTGCATGTGAAAAATGTGACTAATATTTGGACATATTCATACGTTCATTAACATTATTGATAATTGGTATTATGTATTTTAAATGTAGAGACAAAACATGAATATTTTAATATGACTTATAATTGAATATTTCCACTCAATAATAATCATAATTTACAAGAGTAAGTCTAGTAAAGTTATTTTTAGCTAGCTTTCCAGAATATGACTTTCGCTAGAACATTTAAAATGAGTTCTTTTAAAAAAAGTAGGCCGGTTAATGAGCAATTATCTGTAAGTGGGTGCTATCGATCGACCAACGTTGTCATATGAGATATCATTTATCGCTACCGCTCGACTTGGCTACATGGATATTAATTACCATCAATTAATTGCTATCTGCGTATGTATTATATGTATGTACGGTGTGCAAAAACTATAAAATTTCCTCGCATTTAATGATGATGTTACATGATCCATCATAAATTTTTTTTTCAATATCATAGCAATGGTATGAGGTTTCTTGTTTCTTTGTGTGTTCTCTATGATATAAGTTAATTTATGACGCTTAACTTATGATGAAATATTTCTACGAATATGTTTAATATGCTGACACTTTTTAATTTTAATTTTAAATATATGTGTGAATTATTTTTTACATATTTCATATGTATTTATACAATTTGAAGAATTTTGTATGAACAAAAGATTTATTTGTTTTACATGTCACAAACAAATAACTTATTGTATTTGATATTATCGTGACGTATTTATATATACAATTTAATTAAATGTTAAAATTTTCAAAATGAGAGACAAGAGCAGTGATTTGTCAAGCGCTCGAATAACAAAATAGACCGACGATTTTTCGTTTCAGAAGAGGAGGCGCCATTGAACCTCAGCACGAAGCCGAGCGACGTCTCGTCGAGTATCGGCAGCAGGAAAAGTGAAATCTGGTCACCGGGTTCAGTGTGTGAGAGGGAGGCCAGGGAAACGAGAGCACCGTCCTCCAGGAGTCCGTCCTCGACCCCTATAATTACGCGGCAAATTCATCATTCACCACTTACACCGCCCTCCTCGACGGAAAGAACTTTTCAAGTAAGTGTTCTTGTATTATACCTTCTTATTCTTATTCACGCACTTTATCCCGCTTCATCAGATGCCGTCTAAAGTTGTTTGTTCCGTATAAGCGAATGATTCGTAATTTTAACGAAGTAATACTTACCAAAACGGCTTAATTGTGAATTTTAATAGTAATATGTAACAATATGTGATGTAATTCTTGTTTAAAAAAATGCCGTAAGAAGGATTTATTTCGCGTTATTCTATATTCGGAGAAAAGGAAAAAAAAATGATATCAGAGTTTCTTGATTTAAAAATCGCCAATGATGCCAGAACCGGTATTACCGTTATAAAAAAAGATTTTTACAACGCTAGTCCTCTGCATAGATCGCATGAGCGAATCATTGCGAATCTGTTATCGCAGTGATGAAGATGGCTTTCGAGGAAGGCGACTAATATCAGTCCTGGAAATCTCGACGTGTGGTTTCCACGATATTTGGCTCATCGGAAAGTGGACCGCGTATCGTTGCACGCGTGTCTCATATACAGTGCGAATTTTATGAGGTCGACAAATTGACTCGAGCTTTTATTGGCAATCGCGTCTCGAGCTCGTAAAGAAGTTTCGATTTCTATACGCAGTTTGTATCGATCGAACGTCCGATCGCGGCAACCCTTAAACATTGTACCGCCGGCCGGCGGTAATTGGTCCCATCTTAGCGACTTTCCCCTCTGTTTTTCCCGTTCCTACCCTCCGTTTTAGAGCTTTGATGCGACTTATCTGTTTCCGAGAATCTAACCATACTGTCGTTTTAACTGACAACTATAATCAACCCATTGATATTAATAATTTCCTCGGCAGAAGAATAGGCTATTCGTTGATTGTTTGGATTAATTCTATTAATTCTATTTCTGTCTTGAGAGTAAAATGAATCGTTTGATTGCTAGTAATTATCGTTCTAAAGAGAATGTGGACAACATTTTCTTATACACATGTACAACACTAGAAGAATATTATGAATTTAATATAAAATTGAATGAGAAATTATAGTAAATTTTTTTTAATAATTAATTTTTAAAATTAAAAATTGTCGTAATCATGAGTACCTAAAAAAATATAACGAAATTTAGAATTAAATAAAAGATTAATAGAAATGTTTTTAAGATGAAATCGTCTATTCTTCTTAATCATCGTACTTATTTTAATCACAATGATTCGTAAAGGATCTTTTTATAAACGAAACATTATTCTCGGTTAGATTAATAGTTGATAAGCTAAGCTTCTCAGAACATGATAGCTTTTCAAAAAGGTCGCCGATGATCGATATGTGCGACTACTTGATGATGTCCGTTTTTTTACGAGCCACAAGAAGGTGCTTCTCGCCACCTTGGTCAGGTTCTTTGAAAATCGATATTTTTCTCTTCATACACAAAGATTCTTATCACAAAGAAACAGTATTCATGCAAATGTAAAAAAGGCATATTTACTCAACTTACTTATTTTCCAAGTTACATATAATTTTTAAAAACAGTAAAAATTTTAATTTCTATAATTAATTTCGTTTTATTCAGTAATTGATTTAACCGATGCTATTACAGTAACATCTCTCCAAGCAAATATAAAAGATATATATTTCATTAAGTGACTTATTAGAAGAAACTAAATAAATTCTAACGGATCGTTATAAAAGAGGATCGTCATAATCACTCTGTACCACTTTCCAGCTGTTTTAAATAAAACGTCATCAAATGCCTATACGGTTTAAATTAGACATCATCATCAGAATCATCATGCATCTGTTACAACATAGGCATGATCTAATTAACATAATGAAGTAATCCGGACAGACGAGTTGTCGAATATATACGTATCGGCTCATCCTTGACTTTATCGCAACGTTTCCTCTCGATACGCACAGAGGCGACCAGGCTTTTACGCGTGCCTACATACCGCGCGTAAAACCGGTCGATCTCCATTCCGTTCGGAGAACGAAAAAAAATCAGACTTCGGAGTCACGCGATATGAATTTCTTTGGGGCGCGCAAATACCCTTAAGTGCGTTGGGGCGAGGAAACGGGTCAAACGTTTTTGACGAGTACACGGACCTCGACAAAAGACCTCGCCGCTTCAATTACGTGTGATTGAATGGAAGTAGAGAAACTTGCCTCGCCGTGGTTTTACGTCCATGACACGTAACCGTAACTCGACATATTAGGATATGTGGGCCGCACACAAGCGCAAGCGTACTTATATGTGTATGTATATATTATATACATATATAAATATATACACACGCAGGTGAATAAGTGATTTTAATGTGATATTAAATTTTTGATGTCACCTGAGCCTAGATTTACTACAATTCGCTATTAAAAAACTATTAGCTCTTATAAATCAAGGTATTAAAATAGCCGCGAATTCCTAGATATATTTTAAGATAATATTTTCTCATTCATAAATGTGTGTATCTATTATATAATTCATCGGTGCTATGACAGAAAGTTTAAATTAAATTTTATTATCTATACATCCCATATTATCATTCTATTATATTTCAGATTTTTATAACGATTTTGTCTTTAGTAACTGTATTGGCTTTTCCCCCCAATTTAAAAAAAAAATATATCACATTTTTTCGATTTATAAAAGTAGAAACGCGAGTTTCAAAACATATTTAGAATTTTCTTATCAAATGATTCACGGACTTTTTTAAGTTTAAATCTCAAAAGGTGGTAACGCAGAACTAAGCTATCGCGTCAATGGGTTGTTGTGATGATACACAACAATATTTAAGTAAAACGTCCGTGGGAAAGCCGCAGTCTCTTTTATTTAATTCGCGCCTTGGTCGACAAGTGACAGATGTTCCAGGCCGGGCACAAAAAGCGTCGCAAGAGATTAACGGTAATTACACGATTTCGAGGATCCGCGAATCGCGAAGAGTGCAGAAACTGGAAGGCGGTCGGAGAATAAGGACGAGCACAGACTCACTCACTCTCTCTCCCTCTCTCTCGGCTTTGTTTCCGAACCATACCGGAAGCAGACGCTTTCGTGCGGTGACAATGGCGAGACTGCCTTGCCTCCTCATCCACCTTACTTCCCACAATCCGTCGTTTCCTTCGTGATCGCTCGACGCAGGCGTTCCGGCGGTGTTTATTAATGAAAACCCTCCCACTACAGCACCGCTTTCCTTTTCTTTCCTTCGTAGGTATCTCGTCAACGGGATGACGGTGTCCCATCGTTGACCGCTCCGAGAGCTCCCATTTTGCCAGGTGGACAACGGGAGCAATTAAGGGTGACAATTGTTGTGCGTGAGAGTCTATTGTCGTGATCGGTATATACCAACGACGTGACCATCTTGCTTTAATTACAGTTAAATGCCAGGGTCGTAAATATATTACTCTATTCTTCTTTATATCCTTTAACATTTTATACGAATTGTCGACCAGAATAGCTTTCTTATTCTGAAAGATAAAAAACAGATGACGTTACGTTTAAAATCTTGAATGTATATAAGACATAAATAAAAATTTTATTGTATATAAATGTATAATAGTACATATTCACATATTAAAATAGTTATACTCCATGCTAATCTTGAACAATGTTCAGCGTCGAAGATGATCTTTTTCCTTTGCATATGCTTCCACATATAATAGATTTTCACACACAATAAGTTTTACATATGCAATTTCAAACGTTGTGAAAATCTCCCAAGAGAGTAAGCACAATATTATAGTAATCTGAGCCATGCGATCATTGATATACCGATTTTGGCCGGTTCGGATTCTGTCGGGCGATGAGGATTAAGATTCATGCGTAGCAATATCATCGCAAAAAAGTCGAAAAAAAATGTTGCGTAAAGGCAAGTCGCTCTTCCCTGTACCTATAATATATTGATCGCGGCGCGACGTGAATCATGCGTGCGCGCAATAATATTCCGCGGTTGGCATATTCATACCCAGTATAAATTGTCAGCCTGGACACGCATCGAACCGCACCGTCGGGACATTGTGACGACTGGCGCCCGTGTGACAATGAACTAGAAGAGTGAGAGAGAAAGAGAGAAAAGGATAGAAGTGCGCTCGCGACGCTTCGTGAACACAGGTGTGCCTGGCGTCCCGGCGCCTAGGAACGGTGCGTCTTCCATCTCCCTCGTTGTCTGCTTTATTCCCTTTCTTACACGTCTGCGGTTGAAAATCAAAAGACTTTATAGCGTTAGCAAGAGTCGCGCCATGAAGGTGCATACAGTACGTTTATAAAGATAATAATTCGTATGAGCATTTCAAGAGATATAAAATTTTGAAAATAAGAATTTAAGGAAATAAGGAGCTCTGTCGAGCTCCTTCGATTGTTATAATGCAATCATCTTAAGATGTGTTTAATAAATAAATAGATAAATTGTAGTAAATTCGAGTATATTCGTTATCATATATAATCGCGAAGTGATCTCACTGATAAATTCTGAATGAATATTGATATATGATATAATATATATCATATGTATTATAAACTACAGATTCCTATGAAGTTGAGAAGCGTATAGAATCAGGAAAAGAATGTTCTTGAAAGGGGTGCAATCAATATCGCGTGCGGAAACACGAGCTGTCGAGGAGAAATTGATAAATTAGCTACTTAACGGTTTAAAACAGTTGGACGATGGTGATTTATCAGAAAAAGGAAATTGCTATTAACGGTAGAATGGAAGTGATTTTGCATTATTAGATTTGAAATTAATAAGATTGTATTTTGAACATTCTTGCGCAAATAAATATCAATATACGATTATTTTTATAACCATTGTTATAGGATTAAAAAACAAATTCTCTTTCTATTTTTATTCCATTAAAAGCTTAATAAAAAAGAATCAAGTTTGAAAGAATGTATTGTACGTATTTGTATTAGGGACGATAAATAGCTTTATTAAATAGACATAACTCTAAGGTAAATTGCTTTGTTTGTTACAATAGTGTAAGCAGTGTGGTAAGGCTTTCAAACGGTCAAGCACGCTTAGTACTCACCTGCTGATCCACTCCGACACGAGACCTTATCCCTGTCAATATTGTGGCAAGAGGTTTCACCAGAAGTCGGATATGAAGAAGCACACCTACATCCATACTGGTGAGTTCTCAGTAATCCAATCCATCATGATATGATTTTTAATGTGTTAATGAAATTGCGTAAATAATTCTTAATGAATTGCGCAACAAATTAAAAATTTACTTATACATCGATACTTAAAATATTTTATTTACAAGAATGCATCTCGCTTTTTGCACAGATAAATTTATGAAAATTGTATGTATATAGCATTCACTAATGTCCTACATCGCTTGATAATATATAGAGTCTCAGAAATATCGCATTGATCTCTTTGTCTCGTCAGCTTCAGACTTCTAAAGAGAGATTATAATATAGTACGTTAACCGGACAAAGCGGTGAACCGCATATGACAAAGTTTTGGCATACGAGGGTATTGCGTGAGCATCGATAATTGCGATCGTCCGTAACAAGCCTCTACTTTGTACATCTAATTTTTACGTTGCGACTATACTCGTACAAGTCCAAGTTTTGTCCTCAGAATTACAGCTTGTCGCGTGTACTCCCTTAAACTTCTTTCTCCGTGGTCTTCGACCAAATGTTGCTCTTGCATACCGCCGATCGATAACTACAATTGCTGGTAACGAGCTTCTGTCTTTAGTCTCTACATCCAAACGGAAGACGCAAAGCGAACAGTTAAAAATAGTTTCAATAACAGGACACTGCGATGGCTTTTTCTCTTTACTATACTAAATCACTGAAATAATTAATTGATATCTAACATATTATTTTACCGTAGATATACTCTTCTGTCTAACATATATCTCCAGCAAATACTGGAAAACAAAATGTATAATAATTTTAATGTTACTACAATTGTATTTAAATTATTAGATGTGCTCAATGCTTTAAATCATGGTGTTATTTTTGTCTTGAGTTGTAGAAGGTAATATCATTATTCTTTCATACTTTATCACGAACCTAAAAAGATGCATAATATTCCACGCGTTACTTGGAACAAAAGACAAGCGATCGGCGTCCTCGGCGGGTGGTTTTCGAATTATTTATGAAGGCTGCCTTGTTGCCACCGTGGTAGACCATTTTGTACATTATTCAGAACATTGGTGTCCTGTGATCAGAGAAATATGTTCGGACATAAGTCACGCGCAAGTCATGGAACAAAAACAGCCGAAAGTACGTCTATTCTATAGTTTTTGTGAACAAGTGAGGTTTGTTGAAAATATTGATATCTCGATTTTATATATAAAGCGTATTTAAATTAAATTATTAATCTCCATGAGAGTTTTGTGTTAGTCTCTCGAAAACAACATTTTATGACAGATAATGGCGTCAAAAAAGTAATTGAAAAATAATTCTATAGAATAGTGTTGACTGAACTTTGATGGATTGAATCCGTTAATATATTTATGAAATACGACGATTTTTTTATATTATAAATCAATAATACGTGTATATTATAATGCAGTTATTGTGATATAAAAAGATTTTATGTATTATAAATATCTGAACAATTTAAAACGCTTGTAAAATAATTTTTCGCTTGCTTGAAATTATAACAAATTAATTAAAATTTGAAGACATTGTTAATATATACTCAATCCATTAGGCATAATACACCTCGTAAGCTATTTGCAGAGACACTTGCAAAAAGTCGCATTTGCTTGATGTGCGTTATCGCGTAAATGAGATTGCAACGCGCATCTGTTCGATCAAGCGCGACGAAAAACGAAGGGACAACGGACTTGCGACCACACCTTTATAACAACGCACACGCGTTTAAAATGTGTGCGACGCATCCTCAATAGGGTGTCTCCACGAATGTCGCACCCACGTCTCTACGCGACTGACCCTTTTCGCATATGAAAGAATCACGTAGAAGGCATATACGCGACACCAGGAATCGATATCGCGGCATCGCGTACTTTAGATAGAAAGGGGAAATAAAGGAGAGAGAATGTATAAATCTATCTTTCGACATGTTCTTTCCATATCCAACGAGAGATCTTAAACGGAATCTTTAAACATCTTTTCAGAAACGTTCTTTGTAATAAAAAAGATGATAGTTATCCGAAGTTGAATTGACATATTTTTCTAACGTTTATACCTCGCGAAGAGAAACTATCAGCGCGTCGTTAAACTTCAACATTGCCATTTAATTTGCGATATAGAAACGCTACTACGACAAATGATAAAAGGCAAATCACTTGCTAAAATCTAGCTTATACGCAAAATGGCTGTCATCAAAACCGCTCTTCGCCGTTTCATTTGATAGTGGTGGATAGGATAATTATCCTCTTTTACAATAAAAGCCAGAAAAAAATGGATTGGCATGCAATCAGATTAGCTCCGGATTTGATTCATTCGAGGTTTGTGTGTCGCGGGAGACCCAAACGCGAACACGCACATTACCCGCAATAAATATATCGGCAGATCATCAGGCTCTTTCATATGGAAATCGTGTCTCGTCACGCACGCTCTCTTTCAGATGGTTATTTTTGTTTCTTTCGTCTGAAGTAAAAATTAATTCATTGCATACAACAAATTATTGGGAGCAACGACGATTATCGCAAAATTATTGTATTTTTAGATTAGTTATCTTAATTTATAAAATAAAAATTGTAAATATTTTTTCTATAATACATATATTTTTTAAATATTATTTATGAAAGATTAACTAATTAATTATAACAATTCAATTATGTATATACATATATGTATACATATATAGATATACAATATATACATATTGAATATTGTTTCTACACACGCTTTAAAAATTTAGTAGAAAATATAAAAATGTTAAATATGTACTAGCCATATTATGACTTCACGATATGAAATAAAGTAAAAAGAGAATTTATCGAGAAATGAAATTTGAAATTTGTTCCTCGAATATGTGATGTAAATTTCAAAATGATCCAAGATTAATATTTGATGAATCATTCGCGATATTGAAGGTAGTTTCCAAGAGGCGATTTGTTGCTACATGCAAAGAGATAATCTGCGGACGGGAAATGTATTTGTATCGTACATCAAAAATGATCGTATATATCTTCGTACCATCGAGTGTACCTAACGAATGACCACACAATCGCAGCATGATTTTTCCACAATTCACTGCAGCCTATTATCGGCAATTTCTCGAGAGAAGAAAATAACTACTCACCACATCCTAACGATAACTTTTTTATAAAGATACGTGGATTTGTTGTTAAAATGATTACCTAGCTTTTTGAAATATTCATAAAATGCAACGTATTCTGTTTTACTTTATGTGCGTTTTGTATTTGCTGTTCTATCGTTATTTGAATTATTAGAAGGAAATAAGAAATCTCATAGAGTATATTTTGATATTTCAAATCGTTTATGTGTGACAGAATAAATAAATTTCATAAAGTGATAAATGTGTGACAGAATAAAAAAAAGTTCATAAAGTGATAATTTGAAAGATTCCTTAAAAAATTTCCTATTCTTATGAGAGAAAGAGAGAGAAGACATATAAAAACTAGAAATTCAATTATTAATTTTTTTTATATGAAATGTTCAAATATATCATATTTCCTGTTGTCATAAATATAAATATGGATGTCCCAGTAAAATAATTGTTTTGATGGAAAAGCAATTAATTAAAATCGTTTTGACTCACGCATTAAGCCATAAATTGAATCCCCAGATGTATCGAATAACGTGTGATCCAACCCCCGGTCTTGGTGTAAATTGCGGATTCGACCGTTTTTCTTGAGCAATCGTCTCGTGGCGAAAGCGGGACATAAAAGGAAGCGCCGATCGGGAGCGATAGGGACATATTTTAATGGCGATTTAATCAGCTGCCTCGGCCACGTTTTCTCGTGGAAACAGCCGGAAGGAGTGCATGTACGATGGGAAACGGTCTGTTTGTCGCGCGCAAAGCGAGTTTCCGGCACGCCACGTGCCCGACACGGGTCGTCGTGGGGCGTGCGTGTCTCGTGCTAATTAGCGGCTAAGAGAACGAGCCGCTCGTCGTCGTGTGTTAGGGACTACCGAGAAAGGGAGCAATAGCACCCTCGAATGCTCGAGGAACTCGCTCTAGCCACTTTGTACTCTCTACGTTTCTCCACGAGGGGTGAACGTAATGCGAATTTAATCGACCCTTCTTGCAGCGACTTTCCGCTACCAATTTTATTCTCTCTCGTAACGCAGCACCGCGATATCGGAATAGTCCGGATTTATGTCTTAATTATATCCTCAAAGAACGACGTAAAAGAATTTGATTAATTCAGTTTACTATATCATTTAATTAAACAAATGATTATTTTATGTAGAACAAAATCCAGAATGTATAATTAATTTAAATTTACAATATTTAAATATTAAATCTTATAGAACCGTACATGTGAGAAACACAATCAATAAGAAATTGCCTTTAACGGTAGAGCTGGATCTTTTAGGTGGTACTATAATTCCGTGTGAATTTATATACTACGTATGTAAATCCAGGTTTGACTTCCGGTCGGGATAATATTTTTCGCAATATAAATTAATTATTTACAGATTTTTAATATGCCATTCATAGATTTTAATGTCATTCAACATTATTAAGATCCAAGATGCTATGAGCATCAAAATTGTTAAAATTGCTAGAAAATTTAACTCGTGATATTATCGCGGTAGTTTCGTAGAGTTGCGTTTCAAGACCGAAAAATTGTTCGGCGCGCAATTTAAAAGATTACATATACGTAGTACATAAATTCATACGGAATTATAATTAGCACCTCTAAGATTCAGCTTGACCATTAAAGGAATTTAAATTTAGTCAAATAAATTGACGACCATCTTCTAAAACGCACTATATTGTTTAAATTCGTTTTCTTGAATTCATAAATTTTGCTTTTATATATATATGTATATATATAGAATTTAATATATTTCTTATTTGTGACTTTAATAATTTAAAAGAATTTATTTTATAATGCAATGATATTTTTTACTTGCTTATAATTTTTTACGTCGTTATATTTTAAAGCTAGTGCAATATCTTAAAATGAAAGTGCAAGTAATCAGCGACCACAAATGTTTTCGCA